CAGAGTGAAGAGCTAACTGAAAACGTTACTAATTCCACTGTAGTGGCTGATAAGGGCTATGACAGTAATGCTTTTATTGCAAGTCTTGAGAATAAAGGGTGTGAGGTTGTCATTCCTCCAAAAAAAAATAGAAAAGTGCAGAGATACTATGATAAACATGTCTATAAGGAGCGTCATTTGATTGAATGCTTTTTCGGAAAAATCAAAAATTTCAGACGGATCTTTTCCAGATTTGACAAGACTGCTGAGGTTTTCATGGGCTTTCTAAATTTTGTTGGGGCCCTCATATGGCTTGCTTAAAATTTTGTTCACAGAGCCTAGGCTCTGTGAACCAAAATTTGGAGAAATAAGAAAAAAGTGGTAGTTTAACCGTGAATAAATAAGGAGAAACTACCAAATGAAATATTACATACAAGAAACAAAATGGAAACAAATTTTTGCAAATTTGAAAAGCGTAAAAGGAATACACAGTAAAAACGAAGATCGGATAAGAAGGTTCATGGAATCAGTGTGGTACATGGCTCGAAGTGGTTGCCAATGGCGACTTTTACCAGAAATATATGGCAATTACAGAAGCGTACATAAGAGATTCAAAAAGTGGTGTGAAAAGGGAATTTGGGAAAAGCTGCTCAAATATACACAAGATCCAGATTTGGAAGTGCAAATGATAGATGGAACAATCGTTAGAGCACATGCTTGTGCGGCTGGATACAAGAAGGATACCGGAGCTCAAGAAGCACTGGGACGCAGCAAAGGTGGCTTTACAACAAAGATACATGCTCTTGTTGATGCTCTGGGAAATCCGCTTAAATTTACTTTAACTGCTGGTCAAAGGAACGATATTACACAGGCTGAAGCATTAACTGAGAATGTCTCAAATTCAGTTGTGGTGGCCGATAAGGGCTATGATAGTAATGCTTTTATTGTGGGTCTTGAGAATAAAGGGTGTGAGGTTGTTATTCCTCCGAAGCGTAACCGAAAAGTGCAGAGGTATTATGATGAGCATATTTATAAAGAACGTCATTTGATTGAATGCTTTTTCGGCAAAATAAAACATTTTAGGCGGATTTTTTCAAGATTTGATAAGACTGCCACGGTTTATTTAGGCTTTTTAAACTTCGTTGGGGCCCTCATATGGCTTGCTTAAAATTTTGGTTCACAGAGCCTAG